TGATGAGCTTCGACAAAACTTACCACCAAACTAGAAAAACTGTGCTGTGGACACTCGGCCTCAAGATTTCATAACATTCTGTTTGTATTACGATTAGAATACAACACGCTCAGTTTATTGTTATATAGCATAAGTTTAGTTTTAAGATAGTCATAAGTTTAGTTTTAAGTTAGTTTTAGTTAATTTTCGTTCACCTCTATTTTATCTTATGTACTGTACTTTCTTTTTAATAACCTGCATGACAAGCTGTAAGATTATATCTATATTGGTACACCCAACACCTGTATAACCATTTCTATTCATTACCACGGTATCGATTTGTAAAATTCATACTGATATTGTATAACTTGTTTACTTTGTCTTCCTACAATTTGTCAAGCGGTTTTATCATTTGTAAATTATATTTTCATATAAAAAATTGTATATATATTTCTCAGCTATGTATAATACGGTACTGGGAATGCACCTGCAAGGTGCCTAATAAAGAATAAGTAAGTAAGTAAGTAATTTACTTGAGCAGTGTCAAGGCTCCATCCTAAAACTTGCCTCGGGCCGGCACTGAAGCCAAGTATAATACATTAAATCGTCAATGTTGTTAAATGCTGGTCTGCGCGTAACGTTCAGTACCTTCGGCGGGTACAACACGCTTCATGTGGTAAATATAATTTTTTGATATTAATAAATCAAATATTAAATTGATAATAATCTTCCAAACATGTGCAGTAATTTTAATTGTCTATACAATTACAACACGAAAATCAGAGTAATTCGTTCCATAAGTATTTATTTCATGCTGCAAATCTCTACCCATACAAATAAATAATGTAGTAACTTGATATCAACAAGTTATTTGTTGCCATAAAGCTAAATGCAATAGATTTAATAGCCATAATCCTGATTTAAGTATACATATAAATTCCCTCTGGCGTCCGTCTAACTGAATGTCCTTTAATTTCTAGATTTATATACATGAAAGTCGAAATCTTTGGGGAAAAGGCCACATTAACTATAAACGAACTTCCGGTTTGCATCGAAATCAGGTTATTTCAACTGAAATATTTTCTACTGGATGCCGATAATCAATTTACATAGATAATTAACATCCAATTTAATTGTATTGTTAATACAAAAACTACGATATACAGGAACAAGGCACTACTAGAATTGAGAACGACGTTAGTTTGTCACAATAAATAACTAATTTCATATTTCTGCATATATTGGCTCATTTTCATTCACTTTTATAATAATAAGTTAGACAGATACACGCAACTCTTCGCTTGCCCTTCGTTATTTCTAAACGAATGGCAACCTAGAACTCACCACGGGGAGGTGGTTGCGTCAGAGTTCCACCGAGAGTTGGAAAGAATGCAACTCCACACGTGTTTAACATCACCTGTGCAGTTTCATTCTTCCTAACTCACACTTTAACAATAATCCACTCTAGAACTTACCTGAAATTTGAAGAAGGGGAGACGCCCTTCAAATTTCAGGTAAGTTGGCGCCTACTTGTTGATAAAAGCTGTTTTAAACAAACAGTTTTTTCCAACAAGTAGGCGTCAACAATTAAAACATTTAATAATTAATGCGTGCCAACAATTGGTTACTTTCGACATATTCGTGACCTGCGTTACCTCACAACATTATTATGTTTGATTTATTTTACTTTAGAAATTAAAATAATTCCATTTTCTGATAAATATAATCGGCCTGCCCTACTAAAACGCAATTAAAAACAAAAAATCGCTTTTAAAATTGTACAGTAGAAGCCGGTCTTTTGGTTAAGCCTTAATTAATGCTCTTCCTCTCCCCGCGCGAGGGAATTTCGAAAAACCCCTTCTTACAAGTTAGTGTGAACGCACAATGACTGCAGCGCTCCCTCTGATCACAGGCGCTTGCCATGTGACCGAAGCCTGTACATTTAAAACAACAAATAATGGGGATGTAATCGTCAATTATCAACGTTTCCCATTTATAGCTGATTTGTTTTAAAGCGATCAGTATATTCCGTATTGCTGGGGAAACAGATACGTCCATATGTCTGCATCCCTACAGATTTTATAAAAATGGCTCTTGAGCTACACCCTACAGATTTTATAAAAATTTGTAGGGTGTAGCTCAAGAGCCATTAATGTCACACAATATATCTTTTTTTTCGATTTACAGGGCCTCCATAATTCAGATATATTCTGTAGATCCAATCAATAAGCCAACTGACGCCACAATTTGTGCACGCTCTACTCAAAGGATGCGAAAAAGAAAAACGAGTTTCAAAATTGTCCGCTATGTGATAAACGGCGCGGCAAAACAAAACAAATACAAAAGCGTTTATTTGTACGATACAGGGAATCTTCAACCTTTTTCCATAGTTTGGGTGTAAAACTTGAAGATGCACGCTATGTTCAACGGCCGACCGCAACTGTCCCCCCTCGTGATGCTTCGCACGTGCCACACGGTATTGTCGTGTAAATCTAATGTTGCCACATTACGATTTCACACTTATTTGCTTGCAGCGCCATTTACCACGTAGCGAACAATTTTGGAACTAAAATTTTTCTTTGCAAAATCATTCTTTCCGCATCCTTCGAATAGTGTTTACACGAATTTCGATGCCAATGGGTATATTGGTCGGAGCCACGGAGTTCTCCGAATAGAGCAACTTTACGGTCAGCGAATTCTATTTTATAAATATAGATGAAGCATTCTACATATTTCGTGTTAAAGGGGCCTTTTTAGTAAGCCCATTTGTTTCCACGGGACAGAGCTTGATTTGAATCGTCTTTTTTTATTGTCCCAAATAGTCAGAGCTGCCGGATTAGCGAGGTTCGGCACATAATTAGAAAATTCGATGTTTGATGCAAATACGGTAAAATAAATTTATTTATTTTATCGTATTGCATCAAATTTATCGTATTTATTTTATCGTAAAATAAATTTATTTATTTTATCGCGTAATTATCCCGACTTAACGATAACAAAAGAAACCACAACGGTAAAATTAAACAAAACAAGTATTTTATTTAACGAAATTTACTTAAAATACATTTTCTATTTATATCGCAGATAGAGAGAATAAAAGTATGTAATATAATATATTGCAGAGCGAATATTACAGTTTGTTTGATTACAAAATTTAAATAGATAAATGCAAAAACATTGTTATAATATTTTGATATATAAAAAGTTTTGTAAATTTCCGATCGCTAATAGAACGGAAACTGCCTACAGACATTTAAAATGTAACGAGTAGGGCAGCACGATTTAGTTTTTGCATTAGCAAAAGTTAAGGAAAAACATCACAGATAAAACTATACCATACAATAATACTACTTTATCACATTCCCAATAAAGAATAGGAATATTCAATCGAATACGATATATTCTTCTTTCCTTATTGTCGTACTTGTATTAAATCACATCGTAATCTAATTTTGATTTTCTATAAAAATGGATATTTAAATAAGTCCTTTTTCGATCCGTTCGAAATACGTAACACGTCTTAAATTAAGACACTAGGAACAAAAACAATATAAAATAGAGTACAGACCATCGGAAAATACTGTTATACATACATGTATAAAGTTAGCCTCTTGCGGTCTCCAGATACATCGATAAATGCGTGTAAATATTGTTTTATGGCTCTTCTTTGGCAGAATTTATAATAGATATATATGTATATACTAGATAATTAAGCAGACTATATATAGTTTCTGCAATACTTTTACATATATAAAAGTCGTAGTAATTATTTTATTTATATAATACTCCGAATACAACAATTAATAAAACTCTATAATAACAACAATTTTATTTATACTGTATAACGTTATTCTCAATTAATTAAATATATTTTTCCACTTGTAATCTTCTCACAATAATATAGAAATTTCTTTCGAGTTGCTTTGATTTCCTCCAAAAGTCTGAGTAATTCCACAGAAATCAAAAACTATAACAAATCGCGGTTATCTTAGAAATGCAGGCCGGAGTGTGTGCTATTTAATAGCATTTCCGAAAACATTAAAATCTCCATTGTAGAATCGCAAGTCCACCACTCTTCACTTAATAATTCTATTATTTGTCGAGTATATAAGTTTATATATAAACTACTAAAGAAAATACGACTTCGGATCGTCCCAAGCATCTGTAAATTCAAAACTTACGCGTTACGTAAAAATCTAAATGCTCCGATAAGAATTGAGATTCGACGACGTAACTGCCGCGTAACATTATAAACAGTAAGGGATTAATTCCTATCAAAATATTTTTATATGAAATTTCTAATATCACACAGTAATTGTATTTTCTCCCCTATTCAATTTAGAGAAATATTCATAGAATGTAAAATTACAATTTCTAATTCCTTTTGATAAGCTTTCGTCTCCTTAAAATAAGATCCGGTACAAAGTTTTTTCATGCTCTTCAGGTACCATGCTTCATGCTTTTGTAAGTGTTAATTTCTAAATTTTACGCTTTTATATACTTTTGACGTTGGGAATTGGTGTTATTTAATCTTACATCCTAAAATACAAAAAGGAAAAAAATGTTAGTTAACAAACGATTAGTTTCCTTCACATTTTACATACAAGTTAATATATTTAGTCTTGTTAAAACGTCACGACATTCAATACATTATTTTAAACAATTTAAGCAAACTACTGAAATATAAATGGGGGATTTAGTTAAGATAAGGATAGGGATCGGGAAGAAAAGGAAGACCCAGCTGAAAGAATTTCTTTGGACGTTATATAGAGGGAGTGGCCCTCTTGGTACCCTCTACCGAAATGGTACTGTATTGTATTACTCACGAAAAAGAAATACGAATTTATGAAAAAGAAATACGAAATTTTTGCTCCAGGATACGAACAAAAACTCACCATACGACGTTACATTAGTTCGCATTTTTCATTTGTTTTTCTTACTACAGTTATTTTTTTAATGTATTACTTGGCTTTAATTTGAGTATGTTTTTCGCGTTGGAACGAATTATTTGGTTTTACATGTAATCGTATGGGAAAAGATGATCCACCTTACGACATTTTCACGATACCATCTCAGTTTCGGAACGGATTAATTTCGTATCCTGAGGTACCACTGTATAGTAGTATCTCGTAATTCCAATATTCCGGAGTTCGAATTATAATGTATTAAGTCATGTATACAATTCCTACCTATTACCGCCATCTACCTCTTGGGGTTCTGCGGTTAAGTTCCTTTTTTCACCTCAAAGAGAATGTGGTGGGTCCGACCTCCGTGTTTAAGATGGCATGCGCCATTCTTAAAAACCAGGCTAATGTGGCTAAAGGTGTGATGACATCGCACGCTATCGGGATGGAAAAATGAGAAGCAATTTGGCTGGTGACATTGTCTCCAGAGGTCCGTTTGTGAAAAAGCCAAGCAGATGTTTAGTGATTTGAAATTTTCTTTTTATTATGCGGTATTTTCGTATTTTGTTTTCGTGTCTATCATTTGGGTCATTTAATTGTGTTGTTTTTATCTTAAATTACGTGTATCTGATGTTTATCAAATGGGTATCGTTTATATTAGCTATAAATATACCGGCATTACCGTATTTCATATTCTAAACTAGTACTGGAAGTTAAAAACGCGTGCAAGAATTTTACTAATTTCAATGGAGAAAGTGTCAAAATGAAGCTCTCTAAGTAAAACAAGAGACAGGTAACAAGTATAAATTTTACTTCATTCCATCTACATTTTTTTTATACATTATTATTTTGGATTTAGTTCTGTACATAATGCTAAATTTCCATTTATAATATACACATTATAATATAAACTATTTTTAAATCGTCGAATATTATTTCCTAGACGACATAATTTTTGGATCACAGAGGTAGTAAAGAATCTATTGAACGTCACAAGAAAAACACGAGTCTATATTTTGTACACTGAATATATATTGTCTATGTACTGTACATCTGGCAAGAAAAAAAAGTGATGGGAGATAAAGACTGAGGCGTTACCATAAAGTATACAAAGAAAATGCACGGAAAGGGTTTAAGTTCTTAAACGACGATGGTTTTTTTTTTAAAGTTACTCAATTTGAAAATCACAGATTGAACGATAATGGTCCGTCGGGCAGCTTTCACCACTGGATCTTGCTCCTCATAATATACATGTATGTTAGATATTAAAAATATCCTTGTAAATATTTATTTTTGAAATGCAATATGTTGTTGTTTATTTAATGCTATCTGCGAGGGTATCTGTGAGTCAAGTGCAATTCTAATCCTTCGGACGGGGTGGTGATTCTGTTTCGTCTGACGCAGATCTGCACGTGACCTATTCCCTGCCTCGGCTGTGGTTCAGTGGTCAGATCTGAAACCATTCTGCGATCGACCTGTGGCGCACCCATCATTCTATGGTACTGACTGCGATAGGCGGGACCCGTTTCTCTGCCATCTACAGACGTCGAAGAAAGAAGAAGAAATGGTAGAAAAGAAAAGGTCCGAAGAAATGATAAAACTAATAATGTTCAAATAATTTGCCTGGTGTGATACCTGTTACTGTTGTCTAATTTGATATAGACTTATTTATTTTCAATGATTTATACCAGAGTTATTTGCAAAGGTATATATAAATGTTTGGGAAAGTAAATTTTAATTGTACATTTCAAAATCTGTCAAATTAATGAAATCAAACTATATGTAAATAGAATTTTAAAAATTACCTGAATCTGTCGTTCTGGTCATTTCGCACATTTCGCATTTATTGAGAGCGGGATGATTGGCAAACGTACACTTTGAACATTTCCACATGTCCTTTTCTTCCACGTTTTGACTTTCTCTTTTGTTTTCTTTATTACTTTGAAATGCAGAAGCGGATATTGCTTGACTGCCTAAACGAAAAATGAAGTTAAATGTACCTTTTATTGGATGTCACTGGAGATCGTGAAGACATTTTAAAATATTTTGTGTAATCTACACGTTTAAGTGTAAATATTGTCGGCAAATTTTAATAAAAAATGTTTAAAGTTAAAAATTGGAGAAAGTCACATTTAGAATAAAATATATCAATGGCTAACTGAATACAAATGAATTAAAGGAAAGATTACATTGGAGTCAAAGTATTTTTAAAGTTATCATAATTAGATCAATGATGCTATTAGTTAATTTTTAAATTTGTTCTCTATGAATTTATAATCCAGATTCAAACATATTGAGAGAAATGGTTTAGATCAGGGGTCGGTAGCGAGAAGATTTTCTATTCAATCAGTGTGCCACTGAAATGTAAAAATTATATTTTAATTATTAATTACACATTTAAATGGAAATCATAGTTGGAAGGACTTTAAATATGAATTTCTTGTTTGCATATTTCTATTACAGCGCATGCGTTTACGCTCCGTGTTGCCGTCTATATGTTATGTTATGTTTTTATATGTGAAGTGCTTGCATAATTCAATTAACAACTTAACTTCAAAATTATACACTTTTGAAGTCCATTATATGGACTAATTTTGATAACGTATATAATAAACTTGGTAGAATCAAGTCGGCACTCAGAATAACACTATAACTTATGTTTGGCACAACACCACTGAAAGGTTGCCAACCCCTGGTTTAAATGAATAGTTAAGTACTGTACATATAAATGCTGTATTACTACTACTGGTGAAGATTAAAATAATTCCTTAACTAATTTAACAATATAATTATTTTTTCTTGAAAAAACTGTTTAGTTAGGCAAAAATCATTTAAATGATTTTTGCCTAACATATTAGCTTTAATAAATTTCTTTCCTTATTAAATAGAGTTTTATATTATAAAAATATTATATAGCTTATTAGACAATATGGGACAATTTTGAATGTACTGTACAGTTTAACCTGTTTACCTCAATTTATTTCCCCCCTGCATTTTCAATATATTTTCCATATTTATCTCAAATTATGGACTGAAGTGTCAATTGCAAATACATTTTGATAGCATAAATTGCAATTGAGAAATATCTCTTGCAAAACAGTACAGTACTTAAATTCAGAATTACATATCTGTATGTTTACAGAACAATTTTTTTGTATTATATTTTTGTATTTACATTTTTTAATTTAGTTATTAATTAAAAATTTATTTAATATCTTTCTTGTTCTCAACATTTTTTGCTATAAATACTATAGCATTAGAATTTTTTTAAACCTATTAATTAAAAAGAATTTGATTTATTTAGAAAATTTTTGAATTTTTTGACTCATTAACAACTTTTATTTAGATAATTATCATTTAGAAACAATTGTATATATAATACAGTAAGAGTAATAATAAAACCACATCATTAATCAATTCATTATAATTAAAATAATTTTGAAATTCTGTTTTAGAAAAATTAGAATTTCAAGAAACTTACTTAATTCTTCAGTGTTTGGAACTGGGGGTATTGGTCCATGTGGTCCGGTAAATATATTTTTATAAAAATCTTCGTCAGTTTCTCCTAACGGCGCTAATAAAATATAAAGCATTTTCAAAAAAACCCCTTCACAAAACAATGTTAATATAAACAGATTAAGATAGTAATCAGCAGTAATGTAAGCAAAGATTTGTGTATTCAAAAACTCCAAGTGATATTTACACCTATTTTAATGCAAATATCATTTGGCAATCAACAACAAAATTACAGAAATACATCATCTTATAATAAATAGATATGAAAATATTTTAATGAGAGAAGAAAGTAGAATAACTTGACTATCTTGTAGTTTAACTGGACAATATGATTTATTTATAAATGCATCATGTTCTGTTTTTCAAAATAATTTAAACTGCTACACATGCAACAAAATCTAGGAGTTGGACTTGCATGACATGAAACCAAAGAATGTGAAGCGAATATGATTTAAAAAAATCTTGAGAAAAGTTATGAAGAGAGAGAGAGACCTTTATCCTACTCCTTCAACTATGCCAAGATTTCACATGTAATTAATATTAATATTGTAGAATTTACATGTAATGTTTGAATTTGTGTTACAAAGTTTTATTAAAAACTATTAAACTATAATTTTAACCTCCAGTAAGCATGAATGTGCATTCTTATTGCCAGACATAGCTCCTTGGGATAAGGTACAGTGGGGGGAATATCCTTCGTATTGTCATGGTAACTGAGAAGAATCCTAAAAATGAGTAGTTTAAAGGGGTGAAGTGATGTTAGATTTAACCTCTGTTAGCTTGCTATCTGTCCCCACAGAACAAGGAATAATGAAAATCCAAAACATTATAGATAATATATCAGACAAAATGTGAACTAATAATAATCTTTAGTTAACTAATCTAATGTTTTAATCTATATATTTTTGCCACTGAAAAAAAGACTGTACAGTACATACTATGAACATATGCTACCTATGTAGAATGATTTAAGAAGTAAATAAATGTTAAGATAAATACAGTTTGATAATTCTAAATACAGTATATACATTTTTATTAATTGTATCCAAAAGTAATATTCTTTTTAAAAATATGAACATACCTTGACCTTTTAAACAAAAATCAACTTCCATTGACAAACAATGGCATTCCACTCTTAATCTTCTGTTTTCTTCTCGCAAATTTTGAACGTCTGTCATCTACAAATGTAGAATTTATCATTAAGTTGTATTACATAATTTTTTATAAATTTTAATTTATATTTCATTTTAAAATATTTAAATATAGTTAATACATTTTGTTAATAAATGTCTTTAAAATAATAATAAATAGTAATATCTTTAGTTTTCAAATACAGGTAAGCCTCCTACAACACGGTACCTTTACAATGTGTTTTTGCTCCAACGCAGTTGGAAAAATGTGGAAATTTTCTTACAGCGCGGTACTTTTACAACATGGTTTATGGTAATTAGAGATTAATTATCTTCACATAACCGAAAAATCGCAACGGATCACATGATACGAGCCGTAGTTCGGTATACAGTACTAAAAGTCTTTGAAAATAGCTGTTTGTCGACGTTGGTGTGTTATTCCCTTAAGTTTCAGGGGAAGACCGGTTTCTAGACAGATGTGCATCAGTTACTGTAAACACTCAAATATATCACTAAATTTTCGATCATTTATACTCTTTCAATAAGTGGGGACAGCAAAAATGGTTCAAAATACAGTATAAACTTCTATTGGGTGTATATTTTTAACAACATAGTGAAAGGAAGTTATTTTTTGTGATTTTTACTGTCCACAAAACTTATTGAAAAAATTTTAGCCATAACAATGCCAAATGAAAAGAAAGGACTATCATTAATTAAAAAGAAAATTTATAACTCTTCAAACAAAGATAGAAATTTTGGATTGAACTGAAAATCAAGAGCAGATAGCTAATATTGGTAGGCATTTTAATTTAAATGAGTCGACTATTCGGTCGATTAAGCAATCGGGAGAAAAGATCAGAAATTTGGTCGCATATGGATCATCTATTCTTGCAAAAAATGTTGCTCGTCCAAGAGCATCTATAATGGAAAAAATGGAACAAGCGCTAATATTATGGGTAGAAGACATGAACAAGAAACGGTTGCCTTTAAATAAAACTGCACTTAAACACACAGCCTTAAAAATATTTGATTATTTAAAACAAATGGGACAGTTGTTGGCTGATGAAACCAGTGTTAAATTCATGGCTAGCAATGGCTGGTTTGAAAAATTCAAAAAACGCCATTCAAACGCCAAATTTTTCTCTTTTTAGAACCGAATCCCAGTTTTTGTATTAAGTTGGTGTCTCCTATAACGCGATTTCCCACAATGCAGTATTTTCAAGGAATGTATCTACCGCGTTGTTGGAGGCCTACCTGTACTTGTATAATGTTGTATTACAGTGTAAAAAGAAATATGTTCTAAAAGGTTTCTTATATGCATTAAATTCAATACCATGTTGTAAGGGAGAAAACAACAGAATAAAGTTCCATAATTTTGCATATCAAGAACATTTAGCCAAAAACATGGCATATAAGATAAAGTAAATGAAAAACAGTAGATAGGCAGTATTTTACCAGGACTGTGGAGTCGGAGTCATGGAGTTTTGGTGTTGGAGTCGGAGTCGTCAAAAAATCCTCCGACTCCCTTTTACTTACCAACCTGTTATGTATATGAAACAGAGTCGGATGGTAAGGAAAAGTCGGAGTCGGTAGATTTTTATGCGACTCCACAGCCCTGTATTTTACAGACAAAAGGTTTATAATTACACGAATACAAATCAAAAACCATTAAGAACTGTACTTTGTGTACAATCTTTAAACTATGATTATGATAAACTTTCTTGTGATATTTGTCATTACTGTAAACTAATTAATTTTGATTCATATATACATTTGGAAATTGGCAGTATCACAAACAACAAACTTGCAGCATTTAGGGCTTTCAAACATTTGTTAATATCACACAGAGAGATGATTAGTTCTAACGCAAAGATTTCCAGAAAAAGTTGTGGAACAGTTGGATGCATGCATAAAAAATCTAATAAGAGAAATACATCCTACAACACTTGTCTGCCAATCCCAGGCAAGTCTCTACCTTCTTATCACACTTTTCCATCGTATGGTTAAATGAAATATCAATATTTAAATCCTTTATTAAAGTCAGTCAGAAGGAACCTTCCAGTAAGGCAACTGATAATTCCTCTATCTACTACTGTAATCTTATCGGAGTAATTTATCACAATATAAGAAAGATATTTATTATTATGTACTGTTCCTTATTTAAAAGATTAAAAAAATTCTTTCACTTGACAACCTTATTGTTTTGAACATTGGACACAGGTACTAATGTGAGTGGATCTGGGGACATGACAGCTCTGTATGATTAGCAAAACAATCATTCAAGTTTTCAAGAAGCCAGAAAAACCTTTCATTTCCAAAAACGTTAACATTTTTTTAAATGTTCTGATGTCAGTAAGACAAACATTAAAATTTCATTTAATGAAAACGATATTTTCTGGCTTCTTGAGCAACTGTTTTGCTAATCAACCTGCTAATGGAACAGACAGTCTGATTGGAAAAGTATGGAATATGATACCCTTAAGATCTCTTAGACTTACATACACACATTCAGCAATGACTCATCAGAAACTATTAATAATATACTTTAATTGATCGTTCCCTGTTACTAGTTTGTGGATTATTTTTTAAAGAACCTAAAAAGTTTTTGGCTTTTTTTTTCAGTAACTTATTTCACAAGGAAATCTTACTGATATAGGCTTTATTAATAGAAATGCATTTTGGGTCTTTATGACCCTTGTTCAGTCCTTAGTTTTTTGTACAATCTTCGTATGATGTAATTTATAATACATCTTTTGCTACGATCTGTACAAAAACTAAGGACTGAACAGGGGTCATAAAGACCCAAAATGCATTTCTATTAATAAAGCCTATATCAGTAAGATTTCCTTGTGCGATAAGTTACTGAAAAAAAAGCCAAAAACTTGATGCAGATTTTTTAAAGAACCTAAACAACTATAACAAAAATCCTGCACAGACAGCCAATTAAAATCATTAATATAAAAAAATAGCTCTCTACAATATAATTATTAGCAAATTTGACTAATTTTCAATTCCAATCATCTATGGGAGCATTTATTTACATTCAAAATAAAATAATAATATACCATTTTTTACTTATTGTTTTTGCTCTAATTTTTTAAAGCATTTTAACATTAAAAATTGAACATGTACATTTAACATTCTATAACTTTGCACTCTATTTTAATGTGCTGAAGATGTTTTTCACCCAACTTAAGTCATTACATTATCATTAAATTAAGAAACCAAATTTCTTTCTTTTTTTTAAATAATTCTATAAGAAATCATAAATGAGTTTTTCATAGCAGCAACTAGATGGAATTTGTACAAGAGAATAAAAAAAATATAGGAAAGATTTCAGATGAAAAAGAATTTTAACTCATATCTCAATTAACAACATTCAAGTTGACCAGAATACTTTAAGCTGTGTAGTTTTTTCTGTACAGATTTGTATTCTAAATATGTTAAATAAAAGAAAACAAAAATCTGAACTGAATCTTTGAATAAGTGACAAAAAATTTGTTTTAAAAACATAGATCATTATGCTGACAAAAGAGTTTTAGTAATCAGATTATCTGAAATATTTCAAACATTCTGAAAAATTAGTAAATTTCAAATAAGTTTCATAATCCTTCAAGAGAAATCTCTCACATGATTAACTTTTTACAAAATTTGATTCCACACAGAAAAATAATTTCCTACTTGGCATTTATGTTTATTCTTCATCAAAGTTTGATTTTAATGAAAACTGACGAAATAATAAATGCCCTAGATAGTAAATTATATTATACTGTTACTTTGTTATAAATACATATATGAAATCCTAAATATTGAGTAATTTAAGTACATAATTATAAGACAAATGAATGTATATTCACTTTTAATTATGTACATACAGGTGCCCCATATAACACGGAAGTTACGTACCAAAAAATTGACGTGTTATACGAAACAAAGAACTAGTGCAAAAAGGGGGGTTAGGTTCCAAAAATTAAAAACCATGTTGTTAAATCCTTATTTAAATCAGATTTATTATTCATTTTTCTCATAAATAAAAAAATAGGTATTTTACCTAAGTAAATATTTTACCAGAGGATTATTCATCCCGTATGATGATCTCAGCATGAGCATCATCAACTGGTAACAGTTTTTGGGTGCGTTCGTTAATAGCAGTTGCTATGCAACGGGAGTGCACTGCTGTTTGTAGGCATTTAGGAATGACAGTGTGGGCGCCGCCATCTTTCTTTCACTATCAACAGTAATGTGATGGAGGAATCTATAATTCTAAAATGAGCTTTTAGAGGCAAAAGAAGGGCCCCCAATTGTAAAATTTAACCATTAAATGGATTATTTGTTGAAAGAGCAAAGAACGAAATAGCCACAAAAATAATTAGAATGCTTGTGCAGAGTTATGCAGAGGTATAAAAGAATGCACCCTTTATTACATTTCATGCTGTATGAGGGTTTTACCCAATTCCCGAACCGTGTTATAAAAGCACCGTGTTATACGGGGATGTTCCCAATTCTCGAATTGTGTTAGAGTGAATCTGTGCTATAGAAGTGCAGTGTTATACGGGGGTTACCTGTATATGGATTAATATTTAGGATTTCATATATGTATTTGAATAATTTAAGACATAAATGTATATTCACTTTTAATTATTTCTACTTTGCTTGTATGTGAATAACATTAGTTGTATTTTTTTCATCATTATTTTAATCCTTTTGATTCTCTCCCCCCCTGCGAGTACTAAAAGGGTCTTTTAAATTCTATCTATACTGCGTTTAGCCAGGATCAGTGGAGAATGGCTGGATGGTAAGGGATGGGACAAACCACCCTTGAAAAATTCCAAACATTCTCCGATCACACCTTGACCATCAAAAATAATTCTATCTTGAAATACTTCACAAATATTTCTATTATTTTAGAAATTGACGTAGGAATTTTCTTCTTCTATAAATCTACCTTTTTAGAAAATATAGTTTCTTATAAATTGTACCAACTTCACATTAGATGAACACTTTCACTAACTGTAAATTCAAATGAATATAAATAATTTCAATAAAGAAACAAAATGGAAGAATATTTTCCATTTTTTATATATTTTTTTCCTTAATGTTGTTAATGCTATTTATTTTGTAATATTATAAAATAATACATTATAAATGAACAATTATTTATTGTGACATCATCACAATGCAGGCTTTAAATGCTCTCCACCACAAATCAATACTGTAGTGTTTTGCCCCTGTACATCATACTTTTCCATTAGATGATCGGCCCGACTCCATTTCTAACTCCTTTCAGGGGAAAAGTTTTGAATTGAAATAAGATGACTTCTTGTTTGCATCGGATGTTTGTATACAGTTAATTAGAGCCTCCTGCCCTAAGATTTCCATATCTGGTCTTGAATTTCATTTAACTAACACTATTCTTAAGATTAAGGAAAGATAGATGGATGAACAACAGTGGGAATCTATAGGTCTACAATTTTTTCAAATTGCAGCCCAATTAAATCAATGAACAATACACTTTCAAATATAAGTTAGATATCATTTATTGTTGTTAGTTTTAAATTAAGTTTAAAAGTATAAATATAAGGGAGACTGTATTCCTAAATGTTCCCAAGATCATCATCTCCCAAGGCACAACAATCTTTTTCCTTTGAAAAGAATCTGATATTTATATACTAATTGCTAAATGGTATTGTAGTGAAGTTTGAACTCATCTGGTTTTTATTTTTGCTGCTAATCTAACATTACTTTATTAGTTTGACAAACCTCAAAGTATAACACACCTCCATGATGATTTCACCAAATAATAATAGTTAACTAATGATTTTCTTTCTTTTTTCAATGAACTCCACAGATATGCATGTGTGCATGGTGTGGTAGCCAGACAAAAGTTCAAATGCTCATAACTTCTGACCAAAACATGGATTTTTCATTATGTAGAATTGCAATAAAAAAGGGTGTTCCCATTTAAGAAAATAAACTTGAACCTGTTTTCACCAATTGCAACTGACAGATTTCAAATGATGCTAGCATTATTGGTTTAATGAATTTTTTTGCAGGATGTGTATTTTTTTAGTTATTCCAGTATAATGATTAAAAATGAGCCACTCCTTATAAAAAGGACATACAAAATGTTTTACAGCTTCACATATTTTACTAATTTCATTTTCTAGTTTAGGACGTGTTATTCTTTTGATCTAATTTCTGTTCACTGTCAATATCTTATGAACACGTCAGTTCAGATGTAGTATTTTTATTTCTCCAGAACTATTCTCATTTAGCAACTATGACTAATGTTTTTTTTATTTTATTTCAGATACTTACATTTGAAATTGCAGTCAAATTTAATCTTCTCTGCAACAAATGCTCTTCCATATTATTCACTTCCATTTTCATTCTTGACAATATTTTTTTTTCATCATCTAAAACCTTTTGCAAGACTTCTAATCTAGCTTTCTGATGTAATAAAAGAGCTAAAGGAATATTCAAATAAAAGTTATTTAATGTTATGCTGTGCAATTTGTTACGTATATTATTATTTCTCTAAAAAATGAATTATAGAAATTTAATTGCTGAGCACATTTATTCTTAATGATGTACAAAATAATATTCATTAAGTAAATATTTGAATCAACGTTAAACATGATTTATATGAAAACTTCAGTTTTCACATAATTTGAAAGTTTTTTTTTACTTAAGAGGATTTTACAGTTTCTTGAAAGTTAAAATAATAAGTTTTATTTAGATCTTCAATTGTTATAAAAGTTTAGTAAACATTAAAATCAATATGAGAATATAAAAGATTTCATTAATGTTTTTATATACATTAGATGTTCAAAATAAGAATCAATGCAAGTGGTTACAAATATGGATGATTATTCAATGTCTGAAGGATGAACTTTATGATATCTATTAGCAAACATAAAATACAGTCAAACCTTGGGTTTCAGATGTCTCACTTTTTGAACAATTCGGTTTACAAACAAAATTTTGAACTCTTTTTTTTTTTTTTTGCCTTGATTGCCGTATGATAACTTGGTTGCCAAACCCGGCCACAGATGGTCGACTTATACTTCTTTCAAGTATAGACTAATGTGACATAAGGCAATTTATAGCAACATCATTTCAATGAGCATATGAGTAAGATACTACTACTGTTTTTCAGTATGCACTGCAGTCAAATTTAAATCAAATTAATAAAAATTGTGTTAATTGACATTCACGTAATATAAATGGAATCCAAGAATTCATGTTTAAATATGCTTAAGTATATTAATAAATTTTTTAACATTGGATAGCCAGTTAATTAAAAGTAAAAATAATTATTAAAACTGTCCTATACACCAAAAATGAAATCAAATCAATTGAAACATAATTTCTGAAACACATTTCAGAAAGTGCTAGTTGTCTGTCTTGATTGGTTTGTATTTCATCCAGGCAGTCAGAATTGAGTCTCTCTATTTATAGTACTTCTTTATAAAGTGTTAGCTTTACAATAATTAAATTTAATATGTACACAATACACCCAAAATACATTTCAGACTCTTAAAATAGTCCCTTTCACTTGGTGTTTCAATAAAGACCACAAGATAAAAATACATAAAAGTTATATTAAAAGGCTGAAATAACCATGAAGATAACTTTTATGTATTTTTATCTTGTGGTCTTTATTGAAACACCAACTGAAGCAGAGGTACACAATACACTTAAAATGTATTTTGGGTGTATTGTATACATATCAGATTTAATTATTGTAAAATCTCTGTTTTGTAAACTTAAAATAAATTAAGAAATTTTGTGTTTATATTTACTGGTGTGATAAACCAGTTATTTATGTTATTATGCCCTAACATAAATAACTGGTTTATCACACCAGTAAATATGTAGAAACATTAAATTTAATAGTTAGTAGTAGTAAATTTAACAGTTAGTAGAAACATTTAATGAAATTAAGGAAAAAACCCACAGCTAAAAAGGTAAAAAAATTTTCATTTTAGAACAAATCAAGTTCAAAACCCAAGGTCTGACTGTATTCAGACCTGCACCAATTAGAGCTATAGCTACAGGATGAGATGGCTATGCCCCCTCAGCTTAGTTGGCAGTGCCAACATGTACATATATTTTTGTTTCTTTGCAGACACACTAAGATGACATATATCAACACTTGGCAAATTATTGACTATTTATTCAGTTGGGACGCCTTTTACATTTCGTGTTTCGGGCATTGTCCCCTCTTCAGCCAACTAGACATAAAAAATAAGACATGAGAAAATTGTACAAAAATACGCGAATAAACAACCCGTAGATAAAATGTTTTTTTAAAAAATTTTTAAAAACATACCATAAAGCACAAACCACTATTGTACAGATGTCGTACAGGATGGACAATTTCATATTCCATATACTACTTGGAGAACAAACAAGGTCGAGGATAACCATTTTTTGCTACTGGCTTCCAAATATGGTATTCTTATACTTTATGCAAAAAATCAAAATAAGTAAATCAAAAATTACAACATATTTTAACAATATTTGCTTTACCTGTAGCCAGTATTCGTATATTGCACCTAAACTCATACAATAACTGTTGACACTCTTTTTCCGAACAAGTTTCACTGAGTCATCTTAGCGATATTATTTGGACTTTCAATTCACATAGAACCTATTTAAGGCTATGACATTAGATTGTACAAACCACTAATTAATATTTGTAATACTTACAGTTTATATACACATCACAATTCGCACATCAACTGGAGAACAAACAGGGTCGTAGATAACAACTTGACTACTGGGCTTTTAAATATGGCTTTCTTATAATTTACACAAAATTCAAATAAATAGATTGACAATTACAACATATCTTAACAATATTTGTTTTTACCTGTGGTTGATATTCGCATATTACACCGAAATTCATTCGATA